CCAGGCTCGTGTCCCCTCCCGGGCAGCCAGTACCAGCCAGGAGGGGCACGGATCCAGTAAACATGTGGTTGCATTCAGCCTCCCCAGAATCCTGTCCACGTCCTCAGGAGCCACAGAGTCAAACTCGTCCCATATAACAGTCTCAAGACTTGCTCCTGTCTCCTCCCCCGGGGCCACCCAGTCAGAGTCAAGACCTTCTTGAATCCGAGTGACTTTGTCATACAGATATTGAGCAAAATCCTCGGCCCTCCCCTCCAGGGAATCCCCTCCCCCCCTCAGCTGAAGGAGAGAGCGGGTCACCCTGAAGAGGGTGGCCGATTATCTGATGACGCAATGAGGGTGGAGTAGTAGTTAGACCTCGCCACCCTCATCGCCACTAGGTAGGATCTAACCTGTATCCTTGCCTGTGTTCGGTCAGATTCGGTTCGGCTCGCCCTCCAACTGCTCTCCAGGCGTCTTTTCCGGCGCTTCATCTCTCTCAGCTCCTTGGTAAACCAGGGAGCCAATTGAGATCTGCGCCGGGTCAGAGGCCGCAAAGGCATGACTCGGTCCAATGCTGCGGCAGCAGCCGCCTCCCAGGCCGCCGCCAGATTTTCAACCGAATCGTGAACTATAGGCTATGGAAAGAGATAATCAACCAGCCCAAAAGAGAAAAAGATTCCAGCACCTCTCTACCAGTAATCAGCACTCAGATCAGCATATATTAACTCCAAGGTCAACTTCAGACTCCTTCATGGATTACTGCCTTGTCGTGGCGAAGGGGCTTGCGTAATTCAATGAAGCTATGAGCTATGTTGTGCAGGGGCACCCAAGACGGACAGGTCATAGCAGAGAGTTCTGACAAAATGTGATCCACTGGAGAAGGAAATGGCAACCCACTCCAGTATCTATGCCATGAAAACCACATGGACAGTACCAAAAGGCAAAAAGATATGACGTTGGAAGATGAGCCCCTCAGGTCGGAAGGTGTCCAATATGCTACTGGGGAAGAGCAGAGGGCTAGTACTAGTAGTCCCAGAAAGAGTGAGGCGACTGGGCCAAAGCTGAAAGGACGCTCAGCTGTGGATGCACCTGGTGGTGAAAGGAAAGTCCGATGCTGTAAAGATCTTTTCTCCATAGGAACTTGGAATGTAAGATCCATGAATCAAGGCAAGCTGGATGTGGTCAAACAAAAGATGACAAGACTGAACATTGGCATCTTAGGAATCAGCGAACTAAAATGGACAAGAATGGGTGAATTTAATTCAGAGGACCATCAGGTATACTACTGCAGGCAAGAATCCCTCAGAAGAAATGGAGTAGCCTTCATAGCCAATAAAAGAGTAGGAAAAGCAATACTGGGATCTTCTTCTTCTTGTGCCATATCCGTTATCGGACGTTGGCGATCATGTTGGCGATCCTGTTTTTATCAGCAGCCGCACGAAAAAGTGCTGCTGAGTTTTGTCCAAACCAGTCCCTTAGATTTTGAAGCCACAATGTTCTTCTTCTGCCTGGACCTCGTTTGCCTTCAATCTTTCCCTGGAGGATTAAATGGAGTAGGCCGTATTTTTCTGGGTGTTGCATCACATGTCCAAAATATTCTAATTTTCGTTTTTTAATTGTTTTGATGATTTCCCTTGGCTTTCCCAGGCGGCTTATCACCTCCTCATTTCTGATCTTGTTAACCCAGCTTATACGTAACAGCCGCCTGTAAATCCACATTTCAAATGCTTCTAGTCTCTTCAGGTGGCCTTCTGTCAGAGACCAACTCTCTACTCCATAGAGCAGGATAGAAAAAATATAGCATCTGACAAGCCTGGTTTTCAGTCTTAGGCTTATGTCGTGACTGCAGAAGACCTTTTTCATTTTGAAGAATGCTGTTCGAGCTTTTTCTATCCTTGTCTTTACTTCAACGGTCATATCCCAGCTTTCATGTAAATTGGAACTGAGGTGTGTGATCCTTTCAACTTTTTCTAGTGGTATTCCTTCTGAATTTATTGGTGGTAAATTAACGGGTTGTTTGCTGATGACCATGATCTTGGTTTTTGAGGTGTTAAGCTCAAGCCGTATTTTTCAGATATTTCTGTGACTCTTCATGCTTACTGGCAAGCAGAACTGTATCATCAGCATATCTTAGGTTATTGATCCAAACACCGTTTACTTTGATGCCAGCATCGATGTTCTCCAGTGCCTTGTTGAAGATTGACTCAGAGTAGATATTGAACAACAGTGGAGACAGAATACATCCCTGTCTGACTCCTCTTCTTATTTCTGTATCAGCTGAGTATTTTTGGCCTAGTCTCACATTTGCTACCTGATGCCAATACAGATTCTTTATTATTTGGATGTCTTTATCATCTAGTCCCCCTTGTTTCAGGATTTTTAATAGTTTGCTGTGTCTTATTTTATCAAAAGCTTTTTTGAAATCAATGAAGCACATATAAACACTGTGATTGACATCTCTACAATGCTGTACAAGAACCTGAATGCTGAACAGCGCATCTCATGTACCAAGATTGTTTCTGAAACCAAATTGTGTGTTACCTAGACGCTCTTCAATTTTGTTGTATATTCTTGTGTGAATATTCTCAGGAATATTTTCAGGGCATGACTCATTAAGCTTATTGTTCTGTATTCAGTACACTTCTTTGCATTTATTTTTTGGGGGGATTGTCACAAAGGTTGATTTTAGCCAATCATTTGGTATCTTTCCTGTTTCATATATCTGATTGAAGAGCTTCAGTAAAAAAATCTTCCCATTGTCTTCAAGCAATTTTAAAATTTCTACTGGGATATCATCAGGTCCTGTGGCTTTTCTTGTTTTTGCTATTTTTATTGCATGTTCAACCTCTTCCATAGTGATATTTGGTCCAGTTGTTATATTTCCCATATCTATATCATCCCTAGAGTCCTCAAAAAGTTCTTCAATATATTCCTTCCATCTTTTTAGTTTTTCATCCTCATCTCAGATAATTTTCCCCTCTTTGTCATCTAAGTTGTTGGTTTTCTTTTTGTAGAGGCCTGCTGCTTCTTTCACTTTTTTGTGTAAATTGAAATTATCATGTATACATTCTGTCTCTTCTATTTCCTTGCATCTCTTTGCAAACCACTTTTCTTTTGCCAGTCGAATTTTTCTTCTAATTGTTTTCTGCAATTCATTGTATTTTTCTTTGTTTTTATTTTTATAATTTTCTTTCATTCATGAGATGAAGAATTTCCTCCGTCATCCACTGTTGTTTCTTGTGGTACCCCTTCTCTCTGTTTTGAATTTGTTACTTCTACTATTGTATTTTTAAATGTATTCCAGTTCGCTTCTACATCATCGTCATTCAGGTTGTTGGTTTCCCTTAAATGATTTTCTAGTTCTTCTTTAATCTTACCTCCATGTTTAATGATGAAGTCTCTGTCGATTCTTGGTTTAGCAGGGTTCAGGTTTTTCATCCTTTTTAGTTTCAGCTGGACTTCAGCAAGTAGTAGATTATGATTGGATGGTACATCTGCACCTGGGTATGTCTTTACTGATTTTACTGAGTTTCTAAATCTTTTGCTTATTGTAAAATAGTCAATTTGGTTCCTTACTACATTATTTCATGTATCTGCTGGTGATCTCCAAGTGTAAAGGCATCTTTTTGGCAACTTGAAAAAGGTATTCATCACACATTGCCTATGTTCCTTGCAGAAGTCTACAAATCTGTCACCTCTACCATTTCTGGTTCCTAAGCCAAAGTTTCCAACTACAGGAGCATCACTTCCTTCTCCCACTTTTGCATTGAAGTCCCCCATGAGTATTGTGATATCATTGCTTTTTAGGGTTTTCAGTACACTGCTTATATCTTTGTAGAACTTCTCTAAATCCTCCTCATCGCTGTTAGCTGTGGGAGCGTAAACTTGTATAACATTCATATTTACTGGAGCACTATTTATTTGGATCATTATCACTCTATCAGATACAGGAATAAAGGATTTGATGCATTTATTTACATGATTGTTTACAATTATAGCTACTCCATTTCAATGGTGTTTGCTATTCTCACCAGAGTATAGTATAATTTCCTATTCTACACATTCCATTTTCAGGCCAGCGCATTTCACTCACTCCCAATATAGAGATATTGTATTTGGACATTTCTTGGATATGATCTCAGTGCGAATCCAAGGCAAACCATCCAATATCACAGTAGTCCAAGTCTACGCTCCAACCACTGGTGCTGAAGAGGATGAAATTGATGGGTTCTATGAAGCCTTACAGCACCTTATAGAATCACCACCAAAAAATGATGTCATCATAATGGGGGATTGTAATGCTAAAGTAGGAAGCCAAAAGATAACTGGAATAACAGGCAAGTTTGGCCTTGTAGTACAAAATGAAGCAGGGCACAGGCTGATAGAATTTTGTCAAGAGAATATGATGGTCATAGCAAACACTCTTTTCCAACAACCCAAGAGATGGCTCTACACATGGACATCACCAGACGGTCAACACAGAAATCAGATTGACTATCTACTCTGTAGCCAAAGATGGAAAAGCTCTATACAGTCAGTAAAAACAAGACCAGGAGCTGACTGTGACTCAGCTTATGAGCTTCTTGTTGCAAAATTTAGGCTTAAATTGAAGAAAGTAGGGAAAAACACTAGGCCACTCAGGTATGAACTAAATTATATCCCTGATGAATATACAGTAGAGGTGACAAATAGATTTAAGGAATTAGATCTGATAGACAGAGTGCCTGAAGAACTATGGATGGAGGTTTGCAACATTGAACAAGAGGTAGCAACTAAAACCATCCCAAAGAAAAAGAAATGCAAGAAAGCAAAATGGCTATCTGAGGAAGCTTTGCAAATAGCTGAGGAAAGAAGGGAAGCAAAAGGCAAGGGAGAAAGAGAAAGATATGCCCAATTGAATGCAGAATTCCAGAGAATAGCTAGAAGAGATAAGAATGCCCTCTTAAATGAACAGTGCAAAGAAATAGAAGAAAACAATAGAATAGGGAGAACCAGGGATCTCTTCAAGAAAATTGGAGATATGAAGGGAATGTTTCATGCAAAGATGGGCATGATAAAGGACCAAAATGGCAGGGACCTAACAGAGGCAGAAGAGATTAAGAAGAGGTGGCAATATTACACAGAAGAACTATACAAGAACGAGCTTAGCGTCCCTGATAACCACGACGAGGTGGTCACTGACCTCGAGCCAGACATCCTAGAATGTGAAGTAAAATGGGCCTTAGGAAAGCTGAGCAACAACAAAGCTAGTGGAGGTGACAGTATTCCAGCTGAGCTATTCAAAATCTTAAAAGATGATGCAGTAAAAGTGCTACGCTCAATTTGCCAGCAAATTTGGAAAACTTAACAGTGGCCACAGGATTGGAAAAGGTCAGTTTACATTCCAATTCCAAAGAAAGGCAATGCCAAAGAATGTTCAAACTATCGCACCATTGCACTCATTTCATATACAAGTAAAGTTATGCTTAAAATCCTACAAGCTAGACTCCAGCAGTATGTGGATCAAGAATTTCCAGAAGTATATGCAGGATTTCGAAGAGGCAGAGGAACTAGAGATCAAATTGCCAACATATGCTGGATCATGGAGAAAGCTAGGGAGTTCCAGAAAAACACCTACTTCTGCTTCATTGATTATGCTAAAGCCTTTGATTGTGTGGATCACAACAAATTGTGGCAAGTTCTTAAAGAGATGGGAGTACCAGAGCATCTTATTTGTCTCTTGAGAAACCTATATGTGGGTCAAGAAGCAACAGTGAGAACTGGACACGGAACCACTGATTGGTTCAAAATTGGGAAAGGAGTCCGGTAAGGCTGTATTCTGTCACCCTGCCTATTTAACTTATATGCAGAGCACATCATGAGAAAGGCAGGGCTAGATGAATCAAAAGTTGGAATTAAGACTGCCGGAAGAAATATCAACAACCTAAGATATGCAGATGATACCATTCTAATGGCAGAAAGTGAAGAGGAACTAAAGAGCCTCTTGATCAGGTGAAGGAGAGTGCAAAAGTTGGCTTGAAACTCAACATTAGGAAAACCAAGATCATGGCATCATGGCATCCGGCCCTTTCAATTCCTGGCAAATAGATGAGGAAGAAATGGAGGTAGTGACAGATTTTATCTTCCTCGGCTCCAAGATCACCACAGATGGGGACTACAGCCAAGAAATTAAAAGAGGCTTGCTCATGGGAAAAGCTATGGCAAATCTAGACAGCATACTAAAAAGCAGAGACATCACCCTGCCAACAAAAGTACATATAGTCAAGGCCATGGTTTTCCCAGTTGCAATGTATGGCTGTGAAAGTTGATCATAAGAAAGGCTGAACACCAAAGAATTGAGGCCTTTGAACTATGGTGCTGGAGAAGACTCCTGCGAGTCCCCTGGACTGCAAGGCGATCAAACTGGTCAGTCCTAGAGGAAATCAATCCTGACTGCTCTTTAGAAGGCTAGATCCTGAAGTTGAAACTCAAGTACTTTGGCCACCTAATGAGAAGGAAGGACTCACTGGAGAAGAGCCTAATGCTGTGAAAGATTGAGGGCAATAGAAGAAGGGGATGACAGAGAATGAGGTGGCTGGATGAAAGTCACTGAAGCAGTAGGCATGAGCTTAAATGGACTCCAGAAGATGGTAGAGGACAGGAAGGCCTGGAAGAACGTTGTCCATGGGATCGCGATGGGTCGGACACGACTTCGCAACTAACAACAACTTCAGACCAACAGTCAAGTAAGTAATATGTCAATCAAGAAACTGCCAAAGAGCCATTAGTAAACAGCCCAGCCAAAGTATCCCACCCAAACAGACAGGCAAGACACCAGAATATAAACTGATAGCAAACTGATGATGTCCCCTAGTTAGGGTAATGAAACGTCTGCAAGAAAACAAGCAAGCAAGCTCAGAGAGCACCAAGGACCCTTCATTTCAACCCTGAGCTACAAATATTTTTCTTCATGGGAAGAGATCATTCAGGAACAATTCTACTTGCATCCCACTTGCCTCTGTATTCCAGAAGTTAACTAGACATTCAACCAAATTGCCTTTCAGATTGCTGAGAAATCTTCAGGTGCCATTTGGAAAAATTTTGAATTCACCAGGTGCCTGGGACAGGCCATCCAAATTGGCCCAACCACTCTGCAGAGGCTACTGAGTTTCTCTGTAAACAAGACCCGGTCTTATATCCAAAAAAGGCAGTAGGTCTTATTTTCGGGAGATGTCTTATTTTTTCCCCGAAACCTGCCTTGCCTCATGGTGGCAGCACCAACAGCCCCATCCAGCAGGAGCCCGCATGGCTGCCGGCCCACTTCTGCAGCCACTCATAGCCACTTGTAGTAGGACGCTGTGCGGCCTGCTGCGCCATGCCATTGCTATGAGGTGAGGCTGGTGAGAGATGGGGTGGAGCTGCCCCAAGCACCCCATAGGAACCCAAACACTTTTCACCAGAGGGAGACTGGAAGTTTTGTCTGCTTGCAAATGGGGCACTTGGGAATGGGGCTAATCGCTCTGTTCCCAAGCGATGAAGCTTCCAGTCTCCATCATTTCTCTGTTCGGGTGAAAAGTGTTTTAGTGCCTATGGGGCATTTGGAAACGGAGCATTCCATTTCCAAACGCGCCATAGGAGCCCAAATACCTTTTGTCAACATGGAGAAATGACGGAGACTGGAAGCTTCATCTGCTTGAAAATGGGTCACTTGGGAACAGAGCGATTAGCCCCATTCCCAAGTGCCCCATTTGCAACTAGACAAAACTTTCAGTCTCCCTCTGGGTAAAAAGTGTTTGGGTGCCTATGGGGTGTTTGGAAACAGAGTGCTCCATTTCCAAATGTCCCATAGGTGCCCAAACACTTTTCACCTGGATGGAGAAATGACGGAGACTGGAAGCTTCGTCTGCTTGCAGATGGGGCGCTTGGAGACGGAGCAAATCATTCGGTTTCTAAGTGCCCCATTCGCAAGCAGATGAAGCTTCCAGTCTCCTTGTGCGCGAAAAGTGCTAAGGCAGTGGTTCTCAACCTTCCTAATGCCGCAACCCTTTAATACAGTTCCTCATGTTGTGGTAACCCCCAACCATAAAATTATTTTCGTTGCTACTTCATAACTGTAATTTTGCTACTGTTATGAATCGTAATGTAAATATCTGATATACAGGATATATTTTCATTGTTACAAATTGAACATAATTAAATTCTATTCGATTCTATTCTACTCTATTGTACTCTACTCTACTCTCTTCCATATTGTCTATTCTATTCTCTCTTCCATATTGTCTATTCTATTCTATTCTATTCTATGCTATTCCATTCCATTCCATTCCATATTTTCTACTCTACTCTACTCTGCTCTGCCCTGCTCTACTCTGCTCTATATTCTGTTCTGTTCTGTCCTATTCTATTCCATTCCATTCCATTCCATATTTTCTACTCTACTCTGCTCTGCTCTATATTCTATTCTGTTCTGTTCTGTTCCGTTCCATTCCATTCCATATTTTCTACTCTACTCTGCCCTGCTCTGCCCTGCTCTGCTCTGCTCTATATTCTATTCTGTTCTGTTCCGTTCCGTTCCATTCCATTCCATTCCATATTTTCTACTCTGCTCTGCCCTGCTCTGCCCTGTCTGCTCTATATTCTATTCTATTCTATTAGACAATTTAGGATCATCTTCTTCCTGGTTATTCAAAAAAGATTCAGTTATAGAAATGACAACTTTCCGATCATTGTCTACATCTCCCAGCTTTGCATTTGGAGTGAAATGAATCCCAAATTGCCCTTAGTATATTTTATTACTTTATTTCAAAACGGTCAGAGAGGAGGGTAATTTCCCTAAGAACCGCCCGCCGTGGTGCTCGAGGAGCTCCTGTCTCTCAGCCCCGCCCCTTTCGAGGAGGAGAGTTTGGGTGGGGGGCAGCAGAGGGAAAGCGTTCCCTTCTCACGGAGGAAAT